GATGTGCAGGAAAGACGTCGCTCGCGAAGTCCAGTGGAACGCAGAAGAAGCCGAAGTAGGAGTCGTGAACGGAGAGACGATGCGAGACGGCGGGATCTCGAAGAAAGGAACAGGAGGTTGTGCAGTGCTTTTGTTTGATTCGTTCACGTGTTAATATTTTCATTTCGATTTGTTTTTTGCTTATGATAACCTTCTTTAAAGAAGTATTCTTTAGAGAACTCGGTGATTTTTGTTAATGGTTCAAAATGAAAGGAAGTGTGATTTGTATTTTTGACGTTTCAGTTCCCGTGAAGATCATGATCGACGTGATGAGAAACGTCCGAAGAAAGATAAAGAACGTGAGTTGTTTGGGCAGTGCCCATTTCATTTCACGTTTACCTATTTGACTAGGGCACTTGTAACATTAACGTACGTATTTTCAGCTGAAGTTCTTGACGTTGACTCATTGAAAGGTGCCGATAAAGAAATAGCAAAAATGATGGGATTTGTCAGTTTCAGCACGACAAAAAATAAAAAGGTTATCCCTTATTACCGTCATTGTCATTATTATTGTGATATCTCTGATGCAAAGATGCCAATGTGTTCGTAAAACTTCATCACGGCACATTCAGTGATTTATTGGACAGATATAAGTATATTAAGCAGTTGAACTGTCGATTGGAGCAATGAATGAATAATTTCAGGTGACAGGTAATACAGATGGAGTTGTGATGATCAATAAACCAAGAAGATACCGTCAATACATGAATCGTAAAGGAGGTTTCAACAGACCACTGGATTATGTGGCATGAAATGTTCACTTCTTTTGCATACTTATTTGTTCATTGATCTGGATGTTATTCGTTCATTGGAAGTTTCGTTTGACATCATACTTATTGTTTCATTTGTTTATTTTGAGAAATTGTTGCGGAGAATATCTCAGCTGAGAAATTTAAAAAAAAGTTTCGTGTTCGTGCTTCATGTTCGGATGTATTGTTATCATGTTTGGTATGGATGTATTTGTATATAACATTGTTATCGATAATATGTCATGTTTTTAGTTATGTTCCGTTAATTAAGATATGTTCATGTAGTAAAACAGTATGCTCATTGGAAGTATTCGGCAGCAAATCAGCAGTCATTTTATGATTTGTTTGTACCCAGGCAAACGTCCTTAATGAATCACTTTATCAATGTGAATAGAATCTGTTAGATTGGATCGAGGAGTTAAACTCGGAACTGAACGAAATGTAGATCATTTGAGTCAAATGTTTTATGATGTACGTCTTATTATGGAGTAATTGCTTCTTGACGTGTCGTTTGAATTGTTCACATCATGAAGTGATGGAATATCATTGAAGTTGTTTATCAATAGAGTTATCGCGTATCATTTTAACAAATGACACAACGCTCTATAATCACAACAGAAGTGACTGTATCATATAATCGAGCACAGGTGAACGTGAAAGCACTACCGTCGACTTGCAAACAGAGGATCGTTCAGTAAATAATAACCCCAATACGCAAGGTTCCACAAAATGAATGCCAACGGGAATATATAACGACAGCTTTTGTCGATTGATAGTGCGACGTGTGAATATTTGTTGGCCAACTGAAAATGCCAATGAGACATTTTTGGTGATTGTTTGGCGAGATTAATTCTCATCAAAATATCACTGAAGATTGTTCTGAATTGACTGGTTATTTTGACTAAGATAGTTGCTCGTGTCTATTAGTTTTCTGTGCATTTTAGGTAGTTCCATTTGCAGCCTATTATGTAATCTTCTTAGTTGCGGCTTTCCCTCTCCATCGGTAAATTACCCTTGCATCTGATCAAACAAGAGATTGTTGGGTGTTATGATATATTAGAAAGTGCCGTTAATTTCAGACTGATATTTGAAAAATTAGTTCGACGAAGTGGTTGATGACATAGGTATAATAAACAATAGTGACCTGTGCATGGTATTCAGCGAGGATCAACTCAGGCTCTTTAAAGATACCATCCAATAGAAGTTGACGTAATGTTGCGCTATTCTCAAGTCTTTTCATACTTCGATCGCTCAGTTTATTTGCTTCCGCATTTTGAGGTTCTGTATCTGAAATATTCCATGGAATTATTAATCTCCATACAAACTTACGCCATATTCACAATCGGATAAAAATTAAAAATCTGATGGAAATATGCAATAAATTACAGTGAATGGGAATTTTTAAAGAAATCTTACAATAAATATCCTGAAATGAATGAGGGAAACCACCTCTTGTCGTTGAATGAACTTAAATGAAATGAAATCCTAAAATCTTAGATGAACTGAGGGAAACCATTCGATAGAGGTGATCCTCCCACTCAATACCAAATACCGACTGGTTATTGTCCTTGTAGAGAGGAATTTCACTGTTAGGTGGAAACCTCAAGACTAATTTTTCGTATCAACCTCCGCTCCATAGCAACAGTGTTGATATGCAAGTACTCGTGACATTTTATCGAGAGTACTCTTGAACAGAACAATTTGAATTACAAATTATCAACAACAATAAATATTGTTCACCAGAGATGAGCACTTTCGCTATCACTACACCTAGTACTCCCGCTATCGCTACCGAATCGTTGTTTGGCCAGTGGCAAATTAATGGTTCCGTTATTGTACCGATAGCGGGAGTGCGCATCTCTTTCTGAATGTGAAGAACCTTTAATGTAAGCTTCGTAGATATTGTTCAATAGGAGCAAACGATCTGCATCATCCATTGATATCACATTCGAATCAGCTTTTACATGACTAGCACTTGCTCGTTTCTTATCTTTGCATTTCAATTTCTCCAATAGTTCACGATTTATTTGATGTAGACCATAAATTGGCATCGCGGCAGTCGAATAATTGATTTGTCCTGAATGATTTCATTAAATTTACTCACTTGAACTCTTCCTGAATTCATTCCGACAATTATTAAGGAATAATTTGTGTTCAAAGGATTATAAGTTCAACGATTTCGATCTAAGGGAAGTGGTTTGGTCATTCGATTTAATGCTTTTACGATGTGATCATTATGATGCGATGTTGTTGATGCATCTTATCAATTTCATTATGACAATATCACATGAATTTCATCACGATCATTTCATCCCATAAAATTACAACTGTATTCATAGACACCTAAATAATAACACTTCAAACTAGAAAAGTGATCGAGATGTTAAAAAATTTCTCAGAATCATGCAGAACAATTTCATAGCTAAGCCTCTCTCAAGCATCTATTTCTTTGTGAAGTCCTGTGTAGTTGAAAGGAAATTTTAGTAAAGATTCAACGTAATTAACATGATAAGTGCGCAAAATCGCCTTTCATACGAGTTTCCATCAATCAGCTGAATAAATGAATTATATTTCTTGATGATTTCGTAGGAATGATGCATGACTGTGCTCTTCACCCGAATTCTCAAGATCCTGTTCTAAATTCTCATTCTTTTTATCGATTCTCAAAATATTTCTTATTCTTTTCAAGTACTGTTCAGGGTTTTCTTAATGTTGCGTCGTGTTGCTAATGTGATCCGTCTCGTTTAGCCGTCTATGGCGCATCTATATATCCTCATAACGATGTGCAATTTTACAAACATAAATCATCTAAAGAGTAAGCACACTCTAGCAATATAGTTCTTGTATTCAAAGTCTTTACACTCATAAAGTCAAGCCATATCACTGTACGATTATAAATGTCAACGATTATAAATGTCAATCAACGCGTTTTATATTCATACTCTATGTTGATATTGAATGAAATCGCAATGAACTGTTAACACGATCGCTATTTCAAGGGATTTCAATATTTCTTAACAGATGACTTTGAGAAATGGCGCAATTAAGAAAACGAGATTGTATTATGTGATCATATGACATCAACATCTTCGGTGTATCGAACAGCCGTCATTTTTATGACTAAAGAATCGAGATGAGATGTTAGCAACGTACCAGCTTTTTGTAAGTGTCGTGCAGATAGCTTATCATTTTTCTCCGATTTACGCATGTAACTGTTAACAACGGCGAATTGCAATAACGAACAAAATACGAAACACATACATGCTGAAAATACGTGCACTGGCTTGGCTGATAACATTCCAGAGTGAAATTTTTCAAATTACAATTGGAAATTTCAAAACATTTTCGATTGCAGTGTCTCGCCGAAAATATAAGTATTTCAAGAAGTGATCAATATACTAATTGTGAGTAAAAGTTACTCGTGAAAAGTTTCCATACCTCCAAACCAATAATCAATCGCCTTTGCATAGCTCACTTGTGGTAATCCGTATCGCAGGCCATTACCCTTAAATTATGAACGTCCAGATATGATTTCAATAGAGTACACAATCAACTCAACATGTATACGTTACACTGATGCAACTCGCTCGAATTTATCACTGGTGATTACAAGGTAAAAGAACTAATCACCAGTGTAGTGAGTGAAAGCATTGTTGAAAAGCTGAGCGTCACTCGTGCTGGTACGGCCGAGCGATCGATCCAAAACGATACCCACGATATGATGACGATTAGGGATGTTGGTATGTAACTTTGCACTAATGTAAAGCCAAGACTGCGTTCCAGACGAATAGTTGCCACTAAGCAACTGAATTTGTCTGCAATTCACAAGCATGGATCACTGATAACTCCGAGAAATCGTTGCGTTTCATCGGTTACCGAATGATCAGTTAGTGGAATGAATGACCATTGGTTGAGTGGAAAGCCACCATTTCAAATGAAATGCTATCAGTGGAGATTCGAACATGAGCCTCAATTATTTGAATGCGGAACTGTCATATGCTTGAAGAGCATTGAAAAAATTTACGTCTGAGAACGAGTCGAATTGAAATAACACCTAATTAGTAACCATTTAGGAAGAAAAAATGACCATTTGAAACAGAACATAAATCGAATGATTATATTTGTACACGTTTAAATTTAGATTTTGATTGTTTACTATCAATCGTTAATTCTTTCATTTGGAGATTATTCATAAGTTTGCAAAGTCAATCATCTAAATAGCAAACAAATCTTAACAAAGAAAAAAATATGACAACGATGGAATAACTGAACCAATCATTGAAACGCTACCAATTCGATACGAATGCTCCATTACCGCATACCGATAAGTTCCATTACAATAATTAGGCGAGACTGATGCAATTCGATATTCGGGAAGACTTATTGCTGGATTGTACCTGATTGCGTCACTTTTAAACCATGACACATTCACTAGTGCAGCGACATAGGCGTCTTTAAAGGACCACATGATCAGTCACAAGCGAACTAATTTGAAACAGAGTGATAACTTACAGCTGAGAATGCGTATGTGACAGTTTTGTATATCCATTGGATAGTTTTTCAGGTTCAAATTACATGCGACAGTGAGCGTAACTCTGCAAACAACGAGAGAGAGCCGTTTGATCTTATCATGATCATCATTGGTAATGATGTCCCGTTGATTTGACTCATATGAAATCGTTAGTTACGAGTGATTATTAGTTAACTCTTCGAAACGAAGATTTTTGCTATTTCCAATGTATTTTTTCAGGTTCTACACAGTTTCAAGTTCTTTTCGGCTTTTATTCCTAATATAATATCTTTTATCAGGTTGTATCCATGTTAAGACAGGTAAATATTTGATAATTTGAAAAACCTGCACGAATATGAAATCGTTCCATCGCTTGCGATGAAAATGTTAAAGTTAGGTACCATAACATCATGGAAATGTGCACTCTTTGCATTCGCAAAATATAAGTCTGGCAACCTGGAAAAATAATTATTCTGGGAGTCAAATACATCAAATTCTAAATTCAAAATTTTCAACGCAGAAAATTTCCAAGCCAAGTTTTGTCTGCATATTCAAGGTGTTGAATTTGAGACAGAACTCTCTTATGATTGAGACGAATGAGTGGAGATAACTTGAGCAAGTACAGAAAGTATTTAATTGGTGGAAAAACTAGGAAATGAGAAAGTTTTTTGATTTCATTCACTGCTGAAAAAGTTGCTCAAAAAACTAATGCTGATATGTTATCACTCGATCGATTTCTACTGTTCTGTAATTAAGTGCAACAGCAAAAGAATGAAACATACCACATTTTATTTCTGACTGAATTATCATTCAGCATGATGTGTCGATTACGAGAATGGTTCAGTGATGGATCTCTCCAACTCAAATACATATACATGTCAGCATCGAACGTCTTCAAACATATTCTCATCAGATTTTTTAATGTCACTGGCATATTGCTTGCCAGAACATTTGAGTTCATTCTTGAACGAATTCAATCGGTTTCATTCACTTTCCGTTTCACATTAGCTTATTTGGATACCCAAGAAAGTGTTCACGATGTTTAAATGGATGATTTCAATCAATTAGGATTCCCTCTGAGCAACACGATGATCGGTCAGTATTCGTGGTTTGTTGTCGTCACAACTCTATATCGACGTTTTGCGAACATGTAAATATTGGGTGGATATTGGGTACACTCTGAAGTTTTCATATCGTGCTGCAGGTATTCTTACTATGAACTTTCATCATTCTGTGTGACGATACTATTCGGGATAAAATTTCATTACGTGATTAATATTTGTTACTGCTGCTTGCATGATCATAGCACTCATGTCTAGTTGATATTAGTATGTTATGGGGATCCCGTCCCTAATTCCTCGCCACCGGCTGTTTTCGAGCCAGTTGTATTTTTGGGGTCCCCACTGCAAAGATTCGTCGCCGACTTTTTTTTCCGTCCGAGCAAAACCACTTATTACAGTATATTTGCTCTAGTGCTGATCAGTAACAGATAGTCGCTGTCCATCTATCTCATTGTTCCAAACGAGAAGGCAATATAGTGTAGGGAATGAGAAGACGCCATCAAAAAGAGTCAAAAAGGCTGATGCAAATAGTCGA